AATTAAATCTGAAGTTATTAAATAAAATCACCGCCTTTTGGATGTTATACGCAGCTTTCTTCTACTATTGAACTGATATATGTGTACCTATATATTATATATAAAACAGATTTAATTATTTAATGCGTGCGAAAACACCATGATTACATCACCTCGAGGGTACATCTAGTATTATTACAACGCCAGAGACTCGTGGTTAGAAAAGTTTCCAAGACAAATAGAATATAAAGCAGACGTTTGCGTGTGCTGTGCCTATCAATCATCAAGATGATGCGGTGGAGCTGCCCATGTTGTACACATATAATTCACACACCACTAGCCTGTTTATAGGTATTCGTTATTTTTATTACGTGCTAAAATTAATGGTGTGGGAATACAATATTTGTGCTCTATATTTTTATCTTGATATTCCGTGTGATTCATCATTTTCCTTTGAGCAATTTCACATTTGGGACTGCCCTTGTACAAATATGGTACTCATCTCGAACTTGTATTTCTAGAAAAGGTAATATTCGACCATTCAACTTCTAACAGATGTAGCACTTTTATTAAATGCATTGATGTAGAAAGTGAAATCTTGATTAAAGTTTGTTCGAAGATTAGGTACATAATAATCTTAACTTTTAATAATTAATAGATTATTATAAAATTTAAACATGTAGGTTATAACAACACTGATTTCTCGAAATTTAAAACATCTGCAAATGTAGCCGTGATAATATTATCTGAGTACTGAAGGTACTTCCTATTAATATCGTATCGTGTTGTTTGAAATCCTATATAGCTCCTGCTCTTATTCTTTTTTTTTATAATAGGATGGTGTAATGCATATAGTCACCATCGTGGTAACGCAGATGGTTACGAAATGTCCCGTGACGGACCGAACGATTTGGGTGGCCATTACTGGAAGATTAATGACGTCATCTTGCGCTCTCCTCGCACAATCACTGTTATAACTTTCACAGACTTGGAACACTATGAATCTACTGTATAAATATAAAATGAACTCTAAAAAAATTTGGAGATTAAAAATATAGTGTAACGTTGCGTGTTGGAAAGTAGCTGGCAGGCGGCATAGTATCAATATTGAAGAAGTTTTTATGACGTGTTCTATTTATGTAGTTTATATAGTTTTTGACTTTTATTATTCTTTGGTTTGTCGGCAGTATAAAAAGGATCTGTAATCGACTCAGTAATATAATATTATTTATTTTATTTTAAACTTGCATTTCATTATAAAAGTTCTCGCTCAAGTAGTTATCAGTTGTGTATGAGAAAGTAGCACGCGTAGCGTGACGAACTCGAGAACGTTTTGTCTACACACAAATGTCACTTTTCTCGGGTACGACCATATTATATTTCACTCTCGACCCAAGAAACTGTCAAATGAGTGTAGACAAAGCGTTTCTCGAGTTTTTCATGCAACAAAAAACATACATCTTTTGTACCAAATTCGTTCCTGAAAGCCAAACTGGGTGTCGCTGTTCACATTTTGAGTACACTCTTTTATGTATAATGTGATTACAGCTAGTCATACCCAAAGTATCGGATATAGGTGCGAGTAACACAATGAAAAAATAGTAATATCCGAAACTCTCAATTCTGTCTCACTAACAATAAAAAGAGCACAGATTTCTATATGAATATTGAAACGGAAAATAGCACGATCAAGTTACTGTACAGCGTTAAAAATATATCAATGATATTGTTCACCGCATCGTCAGCGATGCGTCAATTCCATTCGACGAAGGTAACTCCCGTAAAAATGGGCGAAAAAATTCACCGTATATAGGATAGGACCTATTTGCTCGTACCGTGGAAATAAAACCCCATCATGATAAGCCATAGGCAATATTTTTACAGTCCAATGAAACACTAAAAGACTTATTGGATGTTTTAAATGAATGATCGTGAATATGATACAATTTGTACGAATGAACGCACGTAATTAGTTTCCGATGGAACGGTAAATTTTGAGCCCTTTGGAAATGAATGCTTTCCTGTTTTTGTTTGGACAGCTTTATTATTTTAATAAATTCTCAAAATAAGTCCTTCCCTTTTAGACATTCACATAAGTTCTTCAAAATCAAAATAGGATAATCAAGCCAACCATCGGATCTTTTGTATCAAAGGAGGGAATTGCATTAACAAACGATTTTTTAGAATCTCAGGATCAGAAATCCTGGATCTGTTAATTCAGTCATAGCAAGGTTAATCTTATGTGTGGTGTTATTTTATATTACGATTCAAGAGTTCCAAATCTTCAGATTATTTATTCCTTTATTAAGTCATCTTTTTCATCGTCGAAAAGGGATAATAAATTGATTATAATAGATTATGTAAAATTACCTTTACGAGCTATTAGTTAGCATTCAATTTGAATTTGACGTTTGATTAGTAGTAGAATAGTATACTAGAATAGTAAATGATCTTAATTATAGATAATGTGGACTTATTTAGTACTGATAACGATAACCTTGATGTAATAATGCAGTCAAATATGCTAGGAATTGTAAATGGCGTCAACGCGATTAAGGCATCCTAACGGCTACGGACGCGTTCATAAATACTAAAGCCCTATATATCTAAAGCAACAGAGACGTTAAGATCTACGTGACTGTCTGCAGCGGAATTTAAACCGAGAATAAGAAGTTAAACGAGGATGGTATATCACATAAATTGGAGCTTTACAGTGTAATATATTAATGAAATATTATTACAGCATTTGGTAATGTGTGGTCAATGTGGATGACTTAATCGTAATGGATTCTCTTGCTTATAAGCGCTTGCGTAGCGTCAAACTGTCAACATCAGATTTTTTTACAGTGGTAGAAATCCGTTAGTGGTAAATACCCATATACTTTTACGCATTTTACTACGAGATATGTGTACTATAAATACATTTATTGGGTTGGGTTTTGCATATAGTAAGGAAAATCAAATAAAAAAATCTATTTAGTTTCGGTATTACTAAAAATTTTAAATAAGATTATTCCGAATTCAAATTAAGTAAATGTGTGATTTTCATTTGTTTTTATTACTATCATAATGAGTGAATTTAATGAAAAAATTCGATGTATTTTAACATTTTATTACAAAAAATGAAGAACTACAATGCAAGCCGCGAAAAAAAGAATAGATGTGATGAAAATGTACACGTATATGGATGTTGTTGTTATAAAAAAGTTAACAACGATGCAGTAACATCCAATGTATTATGTTGCAAAATAAACAACAGATTATAATTTGAATTATATTTTTGGCATTTATTTTTATTTCACCAATTTATATTTAATAAAAATCGATTATTTGTTAATGGATTGGAGTAATTGAATAATAATCAAATATACGAAATCCATATTGATAAAAAATATATCTCTTGTTGCTTACTTTGACGTCACAACAAGCACGTCAAAAAATCCGACATTTAAAGTGCTTGTTTGTTTCTAATTTACGTAATTTCTTTTTGTTGGGTATAAAATTTTAGTCTTTCGGTACCGGGTGTTCTTTTTTACATTTATGACAATATAAATGGTCATATAAAAGAAATAAATGTTTACCCAAAAGGAATTTAACTGAGCAAGCTCATCGTAGATAGTATTTAAGTAACAGCAAAAACTTTTAAATTAACCGGTTCTTTAAGAGAATGTGCTTCTTCTTCTTTTATTAATGGCTTATCTGCGCATTTCGCACAATTCCACCAATGTCAGGTGTATAAATTAATTTCTACATGTAAAATGACAATGAAATAAATGCAAAATGGCGATAATCATGGTTTTATTTCTAAGAGAATGTGACTGATATTTGATTTGAAACATCGAACACATTTGTTTGATATGTTGTGACAGTGCAGACCAAGGAGGTATTCAGTGAGGGTAAATATGAGCAATGCTGCCAATTGCCGAAAGAAATACCCGGAAAGTGGTAAAATTTTGTCGTATTTATCATCATCAAATCACTAAGTAGGTCAATGTATATTGGTGAGTGTTAACGACAGATATAGCCGGGACCTACGGTTTAACGTGCCCTCCGAAGCACAAAGGAACTACAAAAAAAATCTTTAACCAGCCATTAATAAAGTTGTAGCTATGTATTTACTATAAACTCTAGGCACTTACTTTTGTAGCTGGCGGTACAAAATTGGGTAGTACGAGATTGTCGGAAGGTCAAAACAAAGACTTCAATATAAGATTGCCGTCTAGATTGCGTCGCAAACGTCCAACTTGTGATCGTCAGGCCTGCGTAGAGAGAGAAGCTATCAAACTTTATAATACTGTCTAACACAATGCTGTATGCAAACGCAGAGGAACTTATATTTGGGGAGTGCATGCACCCGACGAAAATTGATGCTACTAGTTTCGCCTCGTTCATGTGTTATGTAGTATTTGGTGTTGAATTTGGTGAATTCTGTTTCTATAAACTTCTATTTTATGTCAATATAAGTTATGAAGTGTCTAATATTAATAATGGTCATTCATTTCTAGAGTTACATAGCCTATAAATCAGAATTTGTAATATGTATTTTAGATAGATAAATGTTGTTTATATATTTGTTTACTAATTAATAAATGAAAAATGTAAGCATAGCATAGTTTAATCCCTGAAAAAAAATAAGAGAAAAGACAATTTTCTATAGTTAATTATCATTACTTTATGCGAAATATGTTTTCAGCTTTTTTTGCCAACGTAAACTACTTATATACAAAAATTACGTTTTAACCAAGAGACCTTGGTACAACAAAAAAGATAATTAATCACAAAACCATCGTTATAAGTGTTTTTAGATCTATGGGTAATATTTAAAAAAAATCTATACTTTGACCTTTGTTACTTTAGAAAAAACATAATATTTAAAGAGACACGTCATAATTGAAATTTTGACGATTCATCTCGTATAGATACACACCAAAACGAATGACTTGCGTTTATTATAATAACATAGTTCTCTGACTAGATAAATAACTCGTACTATATATAGCCGCGACGACCTTCAGTCGGTCAGTTATTAAATCAACCAAATGCATATCTCACATGGTGACACTAACATTGAATAAAAACAAATGTTTTTACTAGGTTATTGGGGTAAGTGTCAAAATTTTATTACCATCAGTTTTCTTGTCCACTAATCTGAATATAGAACGAATTTCTCTATATTTGGTTTCGCGGATGTTGAGGATGGACAACTGGGCCGACCTATTTTGATATTTGTTTTTTTTCTAAATATATTTTGATGTTTATTTATTATTGTTTTCTTATTGACGTTTGTACTTTATTAACGACACGTTCTTTGGTGTCACCTTTGTCGTTATCGTAATTTTTGGACGATTCATAAGTACCCGCAAGACGGTCAATTGAATAAAAAATAATTTCATTTTCATTTCTGAGATCATAAGGAGGGAAAGGCAATGGGTCGATATTTATTATTTCACAATAAGCCCTTTCATTAAGGTTCTGTACTTCGAAAGGAATAAACGGAACCCTTATATGATAATTATGTCGTCCATCCGTCCGTGAGTCTGTCAAGGCCCTTTTTCTCAGGAACGCGTGCAGGTATTAAGCTGAAATTTATATCAAATCTGCCGCAAATTTTCGAAAATTAATTAAATGAAAATTTGCGAATACCGTAAATTTTTAGTTACCTACAAATTTGAACGGAATTCTTGGTGCGCGAATCCGACCCGCACTTGGGTTTTTCATAAGTCTTACATATACATTTTTTTTAAAACAGATGCCTGTTAAAGTGTATAAACTGGACTTAAGTCCGCCTGCACGCGCAGTCATAATGGCATGTGATATTTATAAAGTGCCTGTGGAATTCATAGACGTCGACTTAATGAATAAGGAGCACCTCAAGCCGGCATATTTAAAGGTAACATAAAATAAGCCCAATATAATTCTAACAAAAAAATATAGCGTAGCTTTTCCCTGAAAATATTATTCTAGTTAAGTTGTTGTAGGCACAGTAGGGTTATATTACATGAAGTATAACTGTGCCTACAACTATAAATTTATTTTATAAAACAATTTAAATGTACCTTCGAATATTTACGTAAGCAGGAAAATTATAATTTTAAACCCCAACACGGTTAACGATTCACAAATATAATCAAATAAATAATAACATAATAGATTTTCAATTGTAATAAAAGTTCAATTTGAAATTTTAATTGTAAATTTTTAATTATATTTTTTATATTTTATTCATGATGTAGAATTAAATAGACCGAATGATATTTTGAATAATAAATAAACATATTTTGTAAATTTTCCAGATGAATCCCTTACACACTGTGCCCGTTCTAGTGGATGATGACGTGATTTTGCATGACAGGTATACAAAATACTGTCATTTTATTTTGTAATCTTTGTTGGGGTGTTCTCTCCACACCTGTTTAATTTTTATGTCGATCAGCTGATGGATGACCTCAGTGCACAACCTATCGGATATTGTATAGTGTAAACAATATTAGTCACGTGGACGATATATTGCTGCTGGCGCCATCTATCAGTGCTATTAGGAAACCGATTCAACTGCGTGAACAGTTTGCTGAGAGTCATGGGTTACAATATAATATAACAAAAAGTGAATTTATGTTATTTGCACTAAAGGGTAATAAAAAATATAAAAAACCTAGAACAGATACCACTAATCAAACTGAATGGAAATCCTTTAAATGGGGTCATTCAAATATTAAAATTCATATGCATCTAATCAATCAATACTAACATAATAATAGTTGCCAATTATCAAATGTGATATATTTTTAGCATTCAAAATGCTATATTGTCTCATATCATACAATTAAGTTAAGTTTTATCATATATCCGTAATGTAAATAGTCCACGAATCGAGTTTTTATTTTTTATTTTTACCTAAATTTCTATATGTAGTACTTGAAATTTTTGTTAAGTGATAATTGGAATGAAAATTTCAGCACTTAAGAAAGAAACGCTTTGGTCAGACACCCGGATTGCTTATGGCACTTCCCGAAATAGCCTATTCTTCCAATACAATTTCATTTAGAATCGAAGGCGTAACATTTTATCGTTGTATCAATATAGAAAACAGTAGAACATTGCCTTTCTACGATTTATTTACCTTTGTATTTACAGCCACGCCATACTGATCTACCTTTCAGAAGTTTATGGCAACAACGGCACATTGTATCCAAATAACGTGAAGCAGAGAGCTCTCATTAATCAGAAACTATTTTTCAATAATTCGTACCTGTTTACGAGATTAGGAAATGTAACGGTGAGTCACTATTTTAGGCAAAGAGGTGAATGAAAAAAGAGAGGACTAGTTTAACCAAAGGAATGAGGAGCTCGATGGCGCATTGGTTTACGCACTCGGTCTGGGATTCGGTTGTTAAGCAATTTTCACAAAGGTACGGTCATAGGATGGTTGACCGAAATTTATTATCTCGAGCTCCTCCGTACTTCAAGAAGGCACGTTAGGGCGTTGGTCCCTATTCTACAGTCTTTAACATCCACCAACCGCACTGGGCCCGCGTGATGGTTCATGGTCCATTCTCCCTATTCGATTTGAATCGATTGCATCATCAGTGAGTAGCTCGGTGGCCTAGAGGATAAACACCGCAGCCCGCGATCGTTGTTGTTAAGCTACTTTCGCAAAGGTCGGTCACGGGATGGGTGAACAAAAAACTATTATCTCAAGCTACTCCGTGCTTCGTAATACATGAAGGCATATATTCTACTGGCGTTTAGAGCTTCGTCATTGGTGGTTGGTTTGGATAGCGACAAAATATTAAGTGCGAATATCACATTACCAAGAAAATATTTTTTATTGTTAGAAAAATAACAACGATATATATTTGTGTGTAGAAGGATTCAATATATTTTTATTTCAAATTGTCGTATTTTTCTCAGAAAACACAATCATTTAACACCATATTATGGAAATATTTTCAATAATACTTAATACATAAAAAGAACTAGTCCGCCATCTTGGGTCTCCATATTGGAATCAGAATGAAATCAATTTTAAATTTTTCGTATTGTTCTTATCAAAGCCTTTTATTTGGTACCCTTAACATGACAGTGCACAAAAAAGTAATTACATGTGCTTTATTAGATGTAAATTATGAACTTAGCTACTTTTATTATCTGTAACAAATCTGCATTGATCAGTTTAATCAGTAATTCCCAAGTGCTCTAAAAATTCAGTTGCAAGATTTGATGTAATTACAGCGTTTTAATAACCCCACTGCTGTGGGTCAGGCCTTCCCTTGGAATCGGATAAAATAGAATAGGGAGAGTAGGCCATGACCCACCATGAGAGACCAATGCGCATTGGTAGGTATTAACAACTGCAAACACAGCCACACTACCAGCTTAACGTGCTTTCCGTAGCACGGCAATATTCTTTTGACCGACCATTGCAAAAGTTGCTATTCTAGCCATTCCTCCGATTGCAAATTAATAAAAGCTTGTAATAGATGACATCGAAAAGTATGTTACAAAATCGCTCGATATCAAGAGACTATATAAATCTAATTCATATTTTATTATTTCCGTAAGAACTTTTTCTTGCTATTTGTATAAAAAGTTAGCTCTAGAATTTTCTATAAATCTTACTTAGAATCCAGAAACAGCGATTATAAATAAGTAATTTTAAATTTTTGCAGTATCCTATTTTCATGTCAGGTGCAAGAGGCGTGGATCAAAAGAAACTAGATGACATTAACGTAGCATACGGAATCCTAGAAGAGTTCCTAACGAGGACAACGTTTTTAGCTGGTGATAACCTTACTATAGCTGATATTGCTGCGTTCACTACCGTCTGTGGCTTGATGTATATTTTGCCGATTGATAATTCAAGGTAAGCTGAGGCCTAGTTGAAATCGCCGATATACGGTGCGTGCTCGTTTATGTTCGTTACCGGATGCGATAGACATATTGTTCTCTTTATTAAACCAAATAATATCGGAAACTAATAAAAAAGGTTTCTATACAAATGAACCAACTTTAAATGGTTTCAAAGCGTTTGTATTTTTCTTTTATTGACGTTTCGAACCATTTACAGGTTCCGTGTTCACATAAGAATTAAGAATATACCTACCTTGAAAACAATACTATTGGACGTGAAACGTTTCCATAAAATATTTAAAACAAAATATTTTATGGAAACGTTTAAATTTTATTAAATCAAAGTATCAGTTAAAAATAATTTAATTTAACTCTTTCACAATACAAATATTTTATATTTTATGTAAATGTTTACATTTATTAAATTAATTTAATTTAATAATTTAAATTAATTTTCGGTTATACTATTCTGAAGACGAAGGATGCTATTCTTTGTCATCAGATGGCATTAATCGAATCGATACGACTTTCTTCTTGCTGCAATTATTTTTCAATGAAAGACGACTATAACCCGTAAACCATAATATGTTTTTTCGTATTTTCGGACCAAAATCGATACGTTTAATAATTTGGACAAGGGACGTATTTTTAGATGTCTTTTTTCAATAAACTTACCAAAGCTTTTTATTTTTATTTTATTCGATGTATTTTCAGATACCCAAAAATAAATTCATGGATAAAGAAATTAGAAAATCAACCGTACGCTAAGAAATGTAACGAACAACCAGCTAAAATGTATGGACAATTTATTCAGAAAGCCATCCAACAGTGATTTTTATATCAAACTAGATGGCCCTCGATATACTTAATGTCACTTCTCACCGTTTAAACCATCCCTAGACTTCGAGACACCTATCATATCAAAACCAGCTAAATCGGCCCAGTTGTTTTTAAGTTTTAGAGATATAAACTGACAGATTTTGATGTTTATATAATAGATGACTTAAAAATAGTATTAAATCATTTAAAGTATTAAATGTTGTTTTATTTTGTCATAGTTGATATAATTATCTATCAGTTCACTTCAAAGTTTTCCGTGTATATTAGTACGCAAGCTGTGAAAAGGTAGTACTGAGAAAATGCTCACTACCTCATGGTTTGACTCGTTTGAAGTTAGTATTAAATAAGTAGTGGACAACATTATATATATTCTTAATGAAAAACGCTTAAAAAATCACTTTATCCCTGGCACTCTGAGATGGGGCCAGAGTATAAGAATATTTTTGTATATAAATAAATATAATAACTTCAAATATATTTCTTACTTTCCAAGATAAGTAGCTGAAGCCCCCGTATTATGGAGTATCTAAGATAACAAAGGTATCACAACACCTAGATTGGAGACAATATAGAAGAGTCCTTTTTCTACGTAGACCCAACTGGGAATCAAAGCCAGAATCTTAGAGATGGCAACACCTTGAAACCGGTCTGCGAACATCTTGGCTACGGAGGTCGACATATCTTCGATCAACACTTTATAGACCAGTGACTAATTTATACTGTAATTTACACAGGGCATGCACGCTGAATATGTGTAATTTTTGTGGGCTTATTACATTGTTCGATAAACCAATGACGTACCCCTGAAAATAAGCTACAGAACTACATATCGCACTCCCGGTGCGACACTGTCACTTTTGCAAAAATTTAGTTTTTCAGGAGAAGAGTTTTAAGCTCTGACACCTCACAATACAATGACTTTAGAATCTTCTAATCTATAGATGAGATGAATCATACGATAACTATGCGTGCTACAAAAGTAGCATTATCGCACCAAGTAAATGGGTGCTTTAGGACAATTATTACATATTTAACTATTTTTTGTATTTTTTGCAAAAGTGACAGTGTCGCACTGGGGTTGCGTATGAGGGCCTAATCGAAAATTAAAATTAACCATATTGTGACAGATAATACGTAGTTACGAAAAGCGCAGGCGCATATCGTTTACGTGATATTATTAATTTTCTACAGTAGATGGCCAAAAGGTTTTGAAAAAATTATGGACTGGATGTGTTGTTATTTGAATTTCGAATAGCTTGTCATATCATGAAGTTTATAGTCCACCGATATAGTATATAATGCATAAACAATATAATATACCACAAGATATATACTCACAGAAAATTAACCTACAAAGACCTCAATAGACCAGTGGTTATCTCGTACCTTATGTGATGCTATAATTGTAAGTTAAACAACTTCCCAAAAGCCAGTCATGCGATGGGTAACCAAAAATTTTAATATCGCGAGTTCCTGCTTTGGAAGGCACGTTAAACTAATGGTTGCGGCTGAATCTGAAGTTCTTAAACCCACCAAACTGTACTGGGCCCAATAGGGATGGTGACAAAATCTTTTTGTCCGTCCGTCGAGTAGATTGTTGCAGAATATTTAATGAGTATTTCTTTTATTTTTTGCGTAATCTACAAGTAACGGCCATACGGCCATACATACAGTTAAAATGTTCTATGACGTCACGATTTCCAACATTGTCTACAAAGCCATGAGCCCCACTCCTCAACTTTAATGCCTGTTATCTTAGTTATTTGACTGACGAACTAAATCGATTTTTTTTTGCCCAGTTATGATCTCTATTGTTGGATAATAACCCGTTATCCCTATTTAATAAAATGATGAAGGTGTATTGTAATGAAGTCAAATTAAAAATGTTTATTTACGTAACAATCCAAATGTGAATATTTGTTTGTGGTAACATTCTTAGTATAAGTAACCATATCAAATACCTACATCAGGAAGTTACCGCTCTTCAAGACCTAATTAAACATAGGTAACTAAGTAAGCTGATAATTAAATGCAAATATTAATAATGTGTCTCTTGAGTGTGCGCCAATCAACGCATTTATTCATGGAATATAAAATAAATAAGACGATCAAAATAAAATGCCCCAAATAATATCTAAATACAAAACAAATAGAAGTCGTAAATTATTTAGAACACAATCGTCGCAACAAAAATGTCAATGATTGCTTTATTACATTGAAACTGAGGGTTAGAAAGATTCTCGTGCGTGACGCGTATCCCGAGAAAAAAAATATTTTATTCATGACACCTCATCGTTCATACGTGCAATAACAGTTTCTGTTCTATACACCAATGGGGATAGACGGAGAGCTCGTGACAAAATTTTTTAAGTGTTAGTCTAAGCTTGACATTTCAGTGCGTTAAAGTTTTAAGGGCATATGTCCCATGGTACCCATCGCGGAAGTCAGGCGCTGGAACGCCTGATGGCGGCGGCACTAAACTAACTTGTATCTGCCACTAAATAAATGTATCTGCCACTAAATAAAAGTCTAAAGTATAAAGAAAATACTAATAATTTAGTTCAAATACTATAATTCAGTCTAAGCTGTTACGAACTACGCTATCGGTTCGTAAATCCGCGGTGGGAGACTTTGTACCGAGGAAAACCAGCAGGAAACACAGCAAGGACTGCTTTTTTTCCTTGTTTTATTTCATACAGAGAAGTCCAACTGGATAAATATAGTAATAATTTTTTTAACTCTCAAACAACATGAAACGCTTTTTCTGAGTTCATTTTCACACCAACTTTTGAGTCACTGCGTTTCACCGTTATACAATTTACTCGTACATCTTTATTTTTCGTCAACTTTAAAAAGCACTTTTAATATAAGCTCTCATTTCGTACTTTATATTGCATCACCGCGATCTGAGTGATTTATATCCTTAGTATTTTCACATACTGACATATAAAGCTTTAGAAAGCCCTTGAAATTTTTGTCACGATCTCTTAAACTAGAAGGGAAAGCGAGAAATAAATCCAATTTGTACGGGAATATATCATGGTCAGGGTAGCTCACGATTTATTCACAATATCATGCCCCCGGTCTGTATCAGTGTGAACTGGCACGCGGCCACTTCAATCCAATCTCGTCGGTGCAATGGCGATGAAACAGTTTTCAGTGCTCCGCTTTTATTACACTGCGATAATTCCTATTGAGCGAGTTCGTTTTTAATCTGAAGTATGGTGCTATTGAAATACTAATAAAAAGTAAGCTTTGATTGATGTAATTTTTATTTTTTTAAGTAATGTTCATTCTATAAGTAAGTCATTAGACTTATATTTTTATCTTTCCGTGAGGTAAATTGTTGAAATATATTAGATACGTTGCGTTATCAATAAATTACAGCAATAAATTTAGTTGAAATATCACATGACGGCACACCTTTGTATATTTTCTACATAGTAATGACGTAACAAGCCCCCCCCCCCCCACTCCTTACCTTTAATACCTATAACGTAATGTAACACTGCACCCTGATTGAAGGCATGTAGCGCATTTCCAGTATGCCAAGGAAGAGTCACTAATTGGCGTAGTAGATAAGCGCCGCGCCCCGCGAACGTAGATTTTAAGCAACTTTCGCATGGGATGGGTGACCAAAAAAATATTATCTCGAGCTATTCCATGCTTCGAAAGGCACGTTAAGCCGTCGTTAGCCAGCGTGGAGGGTTATAGCAAATCCTACGTAACCATCCATCAAGACCCGAGCCTTGGCGGTGGAGACGTAACAGGACTAAAGTTGATGATGAAATAGGGTCACGGATATGGTTTTTGAAAGCTTGCTCATCAACCAGCAGAGGCTTAATTATCTAAATCAATCACAATCCCTATAATTTGACAAATAAAAAAATATTCACGAACTTCACGTTACCAATATATGGAATGTGGTAGCGTTTGCGATCGTTATCTTTTTAAAGATATCGTTGATTTGAAATTAATCGGAATTACCTAAGGCGATCATGAAACCCAAACATTTCTTTAAGTAACTAATCTTAATAATAAAAAGCACCATTCGTTCCGATACCGACTGCGACTTGAAAACGTTACGTAATTCCATAAATCACACTCGCTTTACCTTAGAAAAGGATTGCAATAGATTTTGAAATTATATAACTAGCCCACAGATCCACAATTGAAACGTATACGTGTTTTAGCATTCGGACTTTTGAAAACAGTGAAGTAAATGGCGATGCAGCTAATAATAGCACATTGCTTGTAAATTGGTTGGCAAGCAATACATATACATATGTGTAACATTAAAGAATTTTCAGTATTTATAGTAGGTATATCGGGGATTTTGTGAGGTTTCCTCGCTATGTGTTCCAGCCAGTTATAAATTTGTGTTTGATAGGTTTCTTATTATCCTACTTTTTCTTTGAAATAAGTAACATAAGTTTTCTACACAAAATGTTATACGATTAACTTAAATATGAGACTAGAAATTGTATATATTTTATTACAAAATAAGTACCTTAAATAATTGATCGCATGAATCGAAAGATGAATAATATATTCAAATACACCCCAAATTACAATAATAACTCAAGTATAATGATTCACAGCTACCTAGAGTATTGTTAAATACCGACCATGTGCTAACAATTAATAAATCAACTCGATATTATTCTTACAAACGACATGATTGCGTGATCTGTCCGTCGAGTAGGTACACTGTTCATTTTATAACTACAAGACTTACTCATTATTCTATATCAAGGTCGAAAAATACCATACTTTTTGTTATTGTGAGAGACATACTCAAATAGCAAATTTCTTATGGTAAAATACGGTAAACCAATACTGAAATGAATGCCTCCTTTTTGGCATGCAAATGCCTTCTCTGGATTTATGCTTCATTGCGAAACGACTCATTCCTATTTTGCTCTCTGTTTTATTTGAATATTGGACTAATATGTAATTTTGTTTGCGTTCCGTTCGTCGTGTAGCCTATCCGAATTTGCGCTTTCCCTCAATCACTTTAAGGCTTAATCCGTATTGATAGAATCCACGCTCTTATTGGAACATTGTCTTTTGGGACATATATTTCAATAACTCCGCAGCGGTATCGTGTATAAATCGTTCTTTTTAGACGTTTGACAATAATTTACTGCGGTAATTTGCATCGGGGCAAAATTATGCTGTTGTACTGAAAATT